CTAAGAGACCATGTCCGTCTCCATCCTGGTCCAGGAAGGACTAAGAGACCATGTCCGTCTCCATCCTGGTCCAGGGCTTTCCACTTTTACTTTAATTGATACGTCTACTCCTCTTTTCATGTTGGATTTTACCTAAAAGCAAATCATTGGAATTAAACCAGAATGAAAAGCTATTTTTGAAATATAATTATTTGAAATATGTGCTAAAGCCACAAAATAAATAAATGGATAAATAAGCACAAATAAATAAACAATTAAATAAATAAAAACAAACAAATAAATTAATTTTTAATTGCTTATTTTGAAAACAAGTTGCAGGATTCATGTCAAATTTGGGTGATATTATAATCTTTATGGGTTTTTTTTAACACAAGGCTAGGCTGTTATATTTACCTAAAATTGTTTGAGTAACGTATTGACTACTGCAGACAGACATTATTGTTTTGTATTTGTTTGTTTGTTTTTAATTATTGCTAACCTTTCAACCAATAGAAAAAAGACGAGATGGTTTATCCTATTATTTAAAGGATCAAATCAATAAGACAACATCTTCTATACATTTGTCATAAACGCTTCTGCTCATCCTTAAAAACATATAAACAGTTTGAAAGTTGGAGAAATCTAACATGTCCGACAGCTTGGGAGAGGGATTTACTAGAAGTTTTGTTTATATAATCTCCAGTAGGCATGTGTTCTTAGTGTGTATCACGTTTAACCGAATGTATAATTTTCATCACAACATGGGACGTGTGTGAATACAAATACTGATGATACAGAGTGGTAACCACACCAGATTCTGATGAGACATTTCATTTCAAAATGAGTACCGAGAAAAAAAATAGTTTAATGTAAAACTTGGTATGCTTTTAATGATGCCCATGGAATAATAACAGCAATGAATAAGGCCGCATTTTTATTTTTTCCATCATTTTTGCAAAATGTGCCAAAAAATGCTGCACATTTGGGTTTTATATCAATTCAAATGAGATAAAGGAACATCGTATAACATATATATATATATACTATTATTTGCTCATGGCTAGTTTGATTTCCACTGCTTGACATTCTTTCTGCTACATCTCAGCATTGTTGAATTATTTGTGCCTTACATAAAAAATAAAAAATAAAAAAAAGTAAATATATACATGACTGTGTCTTTCCTAAACCCTACTCACAGAGGTTTCTAAAACAATAATACACATATTAAATAAAAACTGATTATTTGTGGCCCTGTTTTATTTAATTTGAAGTGAATTGTACTTTTACTCTTGTGAACAAAAAGTAAAGTTTCCACAAAAGTAAAATCCATTAAATCATCAGTTTTAAGTAATTTGCAGTGTAGGAGCAATAAGCTGTCAGATACCGGTACTTTACAAGCACCAACCAGCAATCTGTTTGTGAAAAACTCATTTCCTGTGACCGTCACACAGTAAATAGCTACTGCTTAAACAGCTGTTAAACACTGCCACATATGAAGCCAAGAAGGCTTCTGGTTCTGTAACTGACAGGAAGAAAATGGAAATCTTTGGAGACCATAAATGTTTGAGAATAATGTCTTTATACAAAAGTGCAAATTGCGTTCTCTTTTGACGCTATCCCTCGCTATGTAGCACATCTCTCACAGAAACGTCCTCATATCGCTCTGCTTCGCTACTTAAACCTAATCTTTGGCAGATGAAGACAGTATCTGTTTAACTAGCCTCACCAAAATCAAGTTTACCTTCAAGGTATTGTTTGACAGAATAACTACATAGATTCTAATTCACCATGTGTGTTTCCAAGAATATGCTGGATATATTTTGAAACTTTCATTCTACATAGTATCAATCTATAGAACATACAGTGTATCGTTTGATTCTTTTATGTTTGGTTATATACCTTTTACTTCTTTTGAGGCTAAATAATGATATTATGGTTAAAGTGTGAAAAGACTGACTGGATTTTTTATTTTTATTTTTATTTTTTACCTGACAATATTCAGACTGAGTGACATTACGGTTTTAACCTTTTTCAGGTTGCGTTAACAATTTTAACCCTTTGTGAATGAGGCTTTTCAGATGGGAAGGATCTGCCAGCTGAATGTATTAGTAGCAGTTCAAAACTGAGGTCAATGGCAGCTACGATGTCCTTTTTGTTTTGGATCCTCAGTCAGTCAAGTTCTTTGCTTTTCCGAGACAAATCCCCGAACGAACGTGTTCAGAAATCTCAAACCAACTTTAATGTTACTTTACAACATTTTAGACTTTTGGGCTGAATGTCCGTTACGAGTAGATGCTGAAAGGTTTTGGGCTTATCTAACACTGAAGTGACAGCAGAAGCAACACCTTTTATATTAAAACTGTTTCTTCTTTGTTCAACGCTTTGGCCTCGGTATACTGTGTTTGTTTAGACCATTTGACAACGAACCAAGACCCAGTAGGTGCAAATAAAAACCAGAGGTATTCACAGACAAAATATGATCCCTATAATATAATTTTGCTGATGGAGCAGAACACTCACTAACCTTTGATTGGTACTCATTCCTTGGGAATGTCTATAGTCTATTGCGCATGTCCACGCTTAAGCTACATGAGTAGCACTCAACGCTTCGTTTCCAGGTATGACACAGCACGAGCTCATGGTTAGCGTCCTTAGTGTCTTCAAATGGTTGAAGTTCCAGGTTGAGACACAGTCTCCAAACGAAATGCTTTCACTCCTCGCTGTCCTCCTCGTCCCCCTTGGCTCCTTTACTCCAGCGCTGGAAGCAATGAACAGTGGATGCCAGAAAGAAGCTGGTCATAATGGCCACCACAGACACAGAGATGCCAGAGAAAATGATGATGAGCAGGTCTGTTAGAGTCAGGGTGGCCTGGCACTCGCGAAAGCTGTCCTTAGAGAGATGGGTCAGGGAGACACGTCTGCCATCCATAGGCAGGGAGCACTCCATGCCCTCCACACCTGAGGCACACAAAGAAAACAGGTTTAGACAAACTCCTTTTGAATGTATTGATAAAAACTGTCTTTTATTCAGTAAAGAAAACTCAAACGACAGTTCTGCTGAGACTAAATTCAATAGAAAAACACAATGACGATGAACTTCTATTATAATTTCATTGACTTGACAAACATTTCAGGTTAAACGTGATATTTACGTATAACTAAACACTATATGGGAAGAATATGATGAAAGACAGAGCTAGCTGGCTTGGATATTATTCATAAAGTTAAACGTTATAGAATATCTCGGCTGTGCAGCCTAATGCACTTTCTTAAGAGGACTGGGAGCTGATTTAACAACTGTGAGGTCGATCAAAAGTCCTTATAACTTTATGAGGTGAGGTTGGTCTGTTCACCCAGCACATCCACCCACAGCACGACGCTCGCAGAATACTGTGGCATTACTAGAACACAGTCACAGTCAGAGAGGTTTTATTGTCATTTCAGCTACGTACAAGTACACATTGAAACGAAACAGCAGTTCCTCCAGGATCATGGTGCAACACAGAAAATAAAGTGCAAAACAACACAATACAGTGCAGATACACAGCAGTACAATACATACAAACAGACCTGTAATAAATATAAAAAGACAGATGACCTAATCTAATCATTTATCTAAACAATTAAGAGACAAGACTACAGATGTGTGTTGATTGGTACATGTGTTGGTGATACATGAGGTAGAAACATGTTTTGATATGTGGTTAGCAGCATAAAGTTTTTCTATTTTTGTAACAGCAGAGATAAAAACCGAGTAAGGTGCAAAAATCCAAAAAACTTGTGCAAGTTGCAATAAACGTGCAAAGACTCTAAGTATTTACAGTGTTGTAAAACAAAGATGTATTTTTGTGTCATTGTTTCTTAGTAGCTCTGGATGTTGCCAAAAACATGCATGTTAGCACCCGGCTCTTCGAATGTTATCCATTAAATGGCCGTTATTAGTTGCTATCATCCCCATAGGTTGCGTTCAGACTGTCCCTCCTGTACCTCCTAGTAGGTTTAAAGGTACGTTCTTATCGCTGATAATAAGTCAAGGTTCAGGGTTAGGTTAAGGCTCAAGGGTCAGGGGGTTAAGTTTAGGGTCAGAGCTCTGGGTCAGGTGTAAGGTTAGGTGTAGGAAAAGGGTTAAATTTTTCAATTCAATTCAATCTGTATTTATACAGGTTAGTTCCCATTGAGCCTCGAGGATTCATTTACTCATTTAAATAAAGCTAACAAAAAAAAAGCTTCCGGTTTTATACGCAGGCGAAGTTGCATATTATCAGCGATAAGAATGTACCTTTAAGCCTACTAGGAGGTACAGGAGGGACAGTCTGAATGGAACCTATGGGGATGATAACAACTAATAACAGCCATTTAATGGGCTGATAACATTTGAAGCCTCTGCATGTTAGGCTGATTGGTAACTCTAAATTGTCCCTAGGTGTGAGTGAGAGAGTGAATGGCTGTTTGTCTCGTTTGTCTCTATGTGTCCCTGTGATGGACTGGAGACATGTCCAGGGTGTCCCCTGCCTTTCGCACAGTGAATGTTAGACATGGACATGACCGGCCCCCGCGACCCAGAAAGAATAAAGCAAGAAAAGATAATGGATGGATGGATTTAGAAGTTAAACACAACTGTTTTGAAAAAGACTGTTTTCATCTTAGAAGGCAAAATCTCATTCGACAATTAATGAGTGCAAATCACAAAGTGCTGATTCTTGTATTTGACACTTCTGCAAAGTTTAATGTTTCATTTAATGCACGCTTGTTTTATAGCTAAATTATTTATTTCATGCCAATAATTGAGATCACTTGATCATTAACCTCAGATTTACAGTGTGTGTCACTGAAATCAACAATATTGAGAGAAATGGTTCATTTTAACGTTTACAGATTTTTATTTTTTTTTGCACTTGACTTGATACAGATGGTAATAATTAGACATTTACAACGTAAACCAGAAGAATGTGGCATCCTCCCAACATTACAAGCATAATACTGTATAGAAAAAAGTTTGCTGTGTTTATTTTGGCAGTTTCATACTGTAAAAAAACATTATATGGGTGGGTAGTGGTGAAGCTTGGCAACGTGGGTGGCTACTTTTCACTGTTGCTGTACATGCAAATGGACACATTTGGATGTGCATCTTTGCTTAGCTTTCAGCACAATTCAGAGCATGCTGCAGAACGATATACTGTGAAGATCTATGTGTGTTTTTGCAGCTCCTACACACCTGTCCCCTACCCTAATCACCCCAGGTGTCCTTCGTGTCAATCATGGGTGTTCCTATACATTCTGTGTCTTGTCCCCATCGCATTGCCCATGGATTTTTCTCCTTCGTGTCATGTTTTGTACCTGCTCCTACCGTAATCACCTCCAAACATTTAAGTTTTGCTGCCATGTCAGCTCTTTTTGTTGTGAATAATAAATATTATTTTCTAATCCACAAGTTCCTGAGTTCTGTCTGCACCCTGGGTTCAAAAGGTCAACCATAATTGTAATTTAAATTAACTCTTTAAAAAAAAAAATGCAATTTAGCATTTAAAATTATAAATCTGAAAACATGTAACTGCCAAACTTCATCAATAGTTAAATAATTGGCTTGTCTATTTTCTGATGCATAGTAAAAGGACAAGTGACCTTTAAACATTTTGAGTAACATAAAAAATGGTGGGAAATTGGGATGTATGGAATTGGTTTCCATGGTCCTCTGAATGACTTGTTACAGTATTAATTAGGTTGGTAATCTGAACCCTTGAAGAGCTTGATAAAACTTGGTGACACTAATGCTCTAATACAATATAGATCCTCACATCTCATCTAGCATGCAATTAGTGGGGAACACAGGCCATTACACACTCCAAATTACAGGAAAGAAAACGACAATGGGAATCTTCATTTTAGATGTTTTTTTCTCTGTTTTGAATTTTTAACTATATAACTATTATTTACTTAATCTTTCCACCAAATTGTCTGATATGTGGTCAGCAATCAAACTCAGGACCAGTGAAGAAGCCTTGGTGTTAACAGCCTATTCAATAAATCTTAGTGGAGGAATAGAGGCTGCGTATCAGTTCCGGTGTTTTCTGTTTCATGTGCTCGGACTCGGAGTAAGAGATCAAACTAATTCAATCCATTCAAAGAGTAGCTACGCAAAACCAAACTGCTTACTTAAACTGACAGCATGACGCCTATTCTGGACTGACAACATTGACCTGGATTTCATATTATTTATTTGAGTATTGTTTATTTGTGTCACATTGATAAAAATGGTTAAATGTACCAGATTTAGCTGTAAGTGCTCATTATCATCTCTGCTAATCTTCCAAAATGCCCAGTACCAATAGAGATATTTTTTTCCTGACTGTAAGGTAAAAATACAAACCCTATATAAAATATTAAAAACTTTATCCACAAAAATCATTACAGGGCCAAGTTGTCAGGTGTGTGGACAAGTCTTTCTCACTGTCTCATGATGTTTATCATCTATGCCAGCAACACCATAATGGAAAAAAAGACTCTTTTTTTCATAATTTTAGGTTTTATTACAGATTGATGAAACACAGATTTTTAGGTGCATGATCTGGACTGCTCCCAATGTCAATAAAGCACATCTACTCTCTACCTATGAAGTTCTGCTGTTGTAATTTAAACAAAAATGTAGTCAGACCTTATTGTGGTGATTTACCCAGGGGCCTTCTGTAAGACTTTGTTCCAGTGGTAGCATATGCCTCCTTCAAGTTCCAACCTCTGCATCACTGGTCCTTAAATTCTAATTATCTTTGCTAAGAGTACAGATGCACCCTCAAACAATGACAGATGCTTCATTTTGCAGGCTGGATGGTGTATCTTATGCTTGACAAAGAAGTCACTATATCCTTTTAGCCTCCTAACAAGGAAGAACGTGCACTCATTTGACAACAAATCACCTGGCCACTCCCTTTGTGTCTATCTTGGATAAGCTCGTGTCCAATTTAGTTAGCAATGAATCTGCGCAACGATGAAAGTTGACGTTTAAATTTTAGTTCGAGGGAGTTGAGATGTGCAGTGGAGAGCATCCTGTGCTCGAGCATCAACGTGTGGCATGGAGGCTGCACAGCTGCAGAAAGAAAAGCTTTGCAGAGAGTGGTGAAGGCTGCACAGAAATCTGTCGGAATCAGCCTCCCCACCATCACAGACATCTACACCTCCAGATGCAGGAAGAGGGCCACCTGCTTCATGAAGGACCCCACTCACCCAGCAGACACACTTTTTGCCCCACTCCCCTCAGGAAGGAGGTTAAGGAGCATTAAGTGTAGAACCACTAGACTGAGGAACAGCTTCTACCCTGAGGCTGTTAGACTCATGAATCTCTAACTAGAATAATCACTGTGAAAAACCATATCATGTTGCTGCTGATCTGTTTCATGTTGCTGCTGATCTGTTTCA